GGTTCGTACGCCTCTTCCAGATTGGTTTAGAATCAGGGTTTTTAGCCAGCTCTTCTAGGTGGGAATTCGTTTACTCACATCTGATCTGTGATGGGGTTGAATAACAGTCAGTGCATGAGTACCCATAACGATTTAAGGGTTCGCGGGCAGTCATGGGCCGAAAGGCTCTCACATCGAATGGCCTTTTTTGGATGCTAAGATCAAGAAGGAAGAAAATGATGAAATTTGCTGGATACAAGTGAGAATTATATGGAATGGACAGAAGGTCTATCTGTAGTGATAATCAATTCGAACTATTTGAGAATGTGCCATTTTAGGATGTGGTTAGTGAATCCGTGGGTGGTTGTGTGTCGCAAACAATGGTGCTCATGCATCTACTCATTATTCTTACAGCCACAGTCTGCATGAATTCTCTATCCTTCCGCTTGAATTTGCTCTCATCATTCCAATCTTCATTCGGCTCTTTTATTCAAATGGGCGACCAAAAGACAGCAACCAAAACCGCTGCACGAAAGTGCATGGGTACTGGTTGTACAAACTGAACCGAACTGAACTGATGAACAGTGGGATACTACAGCGAAAATGTTGAGCTACGGACATGTTAAGAAAGTTCCATATTTTTTAATGGGAGCAGAATTTCGCATGCCACAACCGTGTTAGATATTGTTTCGCAAAACACACCTGGAAACTTTGTTGATAACTCTTCTGTGTGTGTGTGTGTGTATGATCAGATGCATTAGTAAACACCACACAGAGATCAAAAAGCTTGTAAATTTTAGACGAATGACGNCTAAAAAGAAATCGTTCATTGAAGACCTGAAGACGTTATGGCATTGAAAACAAAACCCGACGGGCGAAATAAGCTGTATTTTTTTCGATAAATTCATCCGCAGGTCATTTACATTTATGTATAGGTAGAACATTCAATATTGTTTGAGCTTGTGCGAGGTGTTGGATCTTATTACCCAATGTACAACGCGATTCTACGTGCGTCAAAAATTTGATTGAGCTTCTTTTTGGTTGGGATGTGCTTTCCGTGACCACGTTTACATCGGGTTTTTCGCTTGGCAACTGGCCATGACGGAAAAATTTGTCTGGACGAGATATAAACCATTGCCCTAAATAATACTGTCCGCTGAACCTATTCGAAAGCTAATGGGGCTAAAACAATATCCGGATCTCAACTTAAAATAGACCAGATAAGGGAGCGAGAATTGTGCTTTTGGAAAGGACAAAGTACATAGACCGGGTAAATGGGATTCTCTCAGACGACTGCAAATTCCAAAGTAAACTGAAAGGAAGAGACCGAACAGAACAGAACAAGAATTAACGAACTGTCTGAAACGGATGAGAAAAGAAAATCGTATAGGTACCGCTACATGGAAACAATTGAAACCCCAAGGGTCAAATATTATTCCAAGGCTTTACGGACTCCAAAAGGTGCACAAGCCCAACCTAGCGTTGAGGTCGATATTGGATATGACAAACTCACCATATCACGTCATAGCGAAATGGCTGGCTCAACTGCTGGATCCAGTCAGGAAGAAGATATCGACACAGTTTGAGAGATACTTTCCATTTCGTTGATCAAATCAAGGATCTAAGCATCTCTTTTCAATCAATCTGTGTGCTCTCTAGAAGCCACATCGTTGTTCACAAACATCCCATTAGTCGAAACTATCAAATACTTGTGCATCTTTATGAAGGATCGTCATCTGGACACTGGAATACCACTGAATCATCTCAAGGAAGTATTACTCCGATGCACATTTGATTTGCCATTCACATTCCACAATCATGTGTACAGAAAAACCGATGGAGTGTCTATGGGTTCACCTTCGGGTCCACTTTTGGCCGATATAGTCATGGTTAAGTTAGAGAACACCAGCCTCCGACCAACAATAGAGAATTTAAAAATGTATTGCTGATACTTTGATGATATAGTCCTAGTGACTAATGAAAATGAAAATGGTGACTTGGATGGAATACTGGCATCATTTAGCAATGCTCATCGATCCATAAGCTTTACTATTGAAAAAGGAACGAACGATTGCATCCCATTTCTAGATGTCTTTATCCATAGAAACCCAGGTGGATCTATCCGCCGGAACGTCTACAGGAAACCAACTTGGACAGGACACTACATTAATTTCAATGGTTTCGCACCAGTTAAACAAAAATGAAACTTGGTTCACTGCCTAGCGCAACGAGCACGAAGAATCTGCACTCCGGACACCCTAATCGACGAGATGAGACCGACTGTCTGAATCGTTTCCTGGACAAAAACCTGACCGAAACAACAAAGAAATCAGAGGTGATAAGATTGAGCAGAAAATCCGTGTACATGCAATGACCGTACGGGGGCGACAAGGCGGCGACGGATTGGGTGACACGATCAGTGAACCAAACACTAAGGAGAACATCCACTACGGTAGCATTACGCATCAGTTTCCCCACAACATCTGCAACTCATTTCCATCTCAAAAATAGATTGTCCCCTCAGGCCACATTCATGTGCATCTAC